CCCTCTGAGGCCCAGAAGGCCACTTGGAGACGGGTGGGTGGGAGGAAGGGAAGGAGAAGAGAGGGAAGAGTGGGGGCGTGTGGGAGGAAGACAAATTGAAAGCCACAGACCTCAAGCCTGGCTTTGACGTTTTGCTCCCGGTGGAACCAGGCAGGGGATGTTGGTCTGCTGCCAGCACAATTTTCCATCGCCCCTGGAGGCTTCCAAGAAGAGGCTGGACAGTTATTTGTCTGGAGCGGCCTGGGATCTCCTGCTTGAGCGGGGTGGGGGGTGGGAGGGTGGACTAGAAGACCTCCAAAGGTCCCTCCCGTCCCTGTTATTCTGTGTTCTTCAACTAAAAGCTCAGCTGTTTGCAGGAGGAAGATGCAAGAAGAATGTCTGCCTCTCGTCTGTCTGTCTGTCCAATCTATCTGTCTTCTATCTTTATCTATCTATCTATCTATCTATCTATCTATCTATCTATCTATCTATCTATCTATCTATCTATCTATCTATCTATCTATCTATCTTATTGTCTGTCTATCATTATCTCCCTCCCTCTCTCTCCCTGCCTGCCTGCCTATCTGTATGCCTGTCTGTCTGTCTATCTTCTATCATGTAGCTATCTATCATTTTCCATCATCTACTCTCTGTCTATCATTATCTCTCTCTCCCTATTTCCTATCTATCTATCTACCTACCTATCATCTATTGTCTATCTGTCTATCTAACATTCTCTCTCTTCGTCTGTCTGTCTGTCTATCATCTCTCTCTCTCTCTCCCCCTGTCTGTCTGTCTATCATTTATCTTTCTTTCTTTCTTTCTTTCTATCTATCTATCTATCTATCTATCTATCTATCTATCTATCTATCTATCTATCTATCTATCTATCTATCTATCTATCTATCACATTCCCTAACTGTCCATCTCTCTCTTCTTCCAACTCCAAATGGAAAAGAGATCTCAGGGCTCCCTGTGTGAGAAGAGATGATAAGAGACGGACTTGGTTGCTAATTCCAGAGACCTTCTGCTCATTTTGGATCGAGAAGAACCAGTTTGCTGAAAAGCTTTGCCTCTAACACCTGATCTTGTGGGAGAGGTCAAATGGCTTTTAGCCCAGAGAATAATAACATTTGCCCTTAATGGATTATCCTGAATTTTACTTCAGTCAGGTTCTCTGTCCTTGAGTGACATCTAGTGATAGAAAGAATCATTGTTCAAAGAAAACAGAGGCTTGTGCATTATAATGCCTTGGTAAGGCCACACTTGAAGTACTGCATCCAGTTTTGGTCGCCACGACATAAAAAAGATGTGGAGACTCTAGAAAGAGTGCAGAGAAGAGCAACAAAGAGGATTAGGGGACTGGAGGCTAAAACATACAGAACAATTGCTGGAATTGGGTATGTCTAGTAACTAGACTCTAATTTAATGAAAAGAAGGACTGGGAAGGGAGGTGATATGATAGCAGTGTTCCAATATCTCAGGGGCTGCCCCAAAGAAGAGGGAGTCAAGACATTCTCCAAAGCACCTGAGGGCAGGACAAGAAGCAACGGGTGGAAACTAACCAAGGAGAGAAGCAACTTAGAACTAAGCAGAAATTTCCTGACAGTTAGAACAATGAATCAGAGGAACAACTTGCTTCCAGAAGTTGTAAATGCTCCAACACTGGACATTTTAAAGAAGAGATTGGATAACCATTTGTCTGAAGTGGTGTAGGGTTTCCTGCCTGAGCAAGGGGTTGGACTAGAAGACCTCCAAGGTCCCTTCCAACTCTGTTATTCTGTTAAGGGAGGTGATAAATCCCATATTATAACAATATCTTTCCTAGGTCAAAATAGTGTGCAAACTTTGGAGATCACAGCACTCTGTCAAAAAGGAAGGAAAAGAAAGAGAGAGAAAAGAGGAAAATGTTAGAAAAAAACCAAGCACTTTCCACTGTAAAGTTTCTGTCCTTTTTCGTTTTTTTTCAGTAGTTTCAAATCAGTGGCAATGGGGATTGTTGCTTTTCTGCTTTTTGGCCAGCAGGTGGCAGACCTCAGCCAAAATTGTTATTTCTCCTGTCTTGATCAAGTTTGACATTGTGCTATATTTAAAAATCGATCAATCGGTCAGTCAGTCAATCATGTCACAGCTTTCCAAATGCATGGATTTTCTTGAAAAAGATGGTTTTTTTTCAAAAGGAGCCAGAGCCCCAGAAATATTTCCAAGATTAGAAAAGTCACTTCATTCGCAGCTCTTAAATAAGATGCACACTTTTGGGGGTGATGTACTTTTAGCTCAAGACAAATGGACAGAGCCAGTCCCTTTGCAAAGAATACCCAATGGCTGTAAAAAAAAATGAAAACATTTGTTTCTCTCCAGATTGCAACTTGGATGGCCAAATCTAAACAAAGGGGGAAAGATTACGAGGAGATAATCTGAAGTACTAAATATTTGAAAATGCATCATTTGGGTAAGATGAGAATGAAGAAGTGGAAAAGCAAATATTTTGTGTAAAAGATGACTTAGGTGACCTTGGCATGCTGTTATGTTTAAAAGGAGGCTGGTGAGAATCAGATAAAATTTCTGTCCTGAGCAAGGGGTTGATCTGGATGACCTCTAAGGATCCCTTTCAGATCTTGGTTAAAAACTCCCTCCTCGTTTTTCAGCCAGGACCAGCTCCTCTGCCATCAACACTGCGGCTCCCTCATTGCCTCACCTTTGTTCTACATAGGAAAAGTATCCACATTTGGTTTATTCTGTTTTCTTTCCAGCCGTTCATTTCCACAAGGCATAAAACCGCTCTCAGATAAACATACCAGGTCAGCCCAGGAACCTCAGACCTGAAAAAATAAATATTTGTCACCAACCCAGTTTTGAGATATTAACGGGACCTAAATAGAGGGTGTTGAAATCCTGTGTGATACGAAGCCTTGCGGCTTTTACTTGCAACCAAATTAATAGCTGTTCCCACTTTTAACTTCTGCATCAGCCTGTCTGGGAGATTTGTCTTTTGTCTGCCTCTGGTGTCCCAGATTTGTGGGTTGTCTGACTCAGCCTTTCTGGCTCAGCTTTCCATAAGAAGGAGGGGGAGGGGGAAGGAAGCGGATTAGAGGAACAAAGGACATTGGGCATCTTGGCACCTTGTGAAGGAGAGAGGAGAAATTTGTAACTCAGGGTTGACCTGTGGGGTCCTTGGTGCTCTTTCAGCTTGGTGGTTGTCTTGAAGACGTTTCATGACCCAACTAGGTAACCTCATCAGTGCCAGAAGGGATTGGGATTTGCAGGGAAGAGGAGGAGGAGGAGGAGGAGGAGGAGAATGATGACTTTGAGGTCCTTAGGGCTCTCTGAACTTGATTGTTTTCTTGCAGACGTTTCACGACCCAACTAGGTAACTTCATCAGTGCCAGAAGGGATTGGGGTTTGCAGAGTGGAGGAGAAGGAGAAGTGGAAGAAGGAAGAGGAGGACTGTGGGGTCCTTCTTTGTCCTCCTCCTTCTCCTTTTCCTCTTCCTCCTCCTCCTTCTTTGTCCTCCTCCTCTTCCTCCTCTTCCTCTCTGAGCTTGGTTGTTTTCTTGCAGACATTTCATGACCCAACTAGGGAACATCACCAAGGCAGGGATGTGAGGCTACCAGGAAAACCAGAGGCTAGACTGGGAAGTCCTGAATACATCTGGAAGGAAGGCTATTGAAAATCACCCCTGTGCAATAAAACTCCACCCCCCACCCCGTCCATTAAGTCCCCAGGAGCCAAGTCGTTACATAGGACAAAAAGTAATATTTTAAAACAGAGCCGAAGAAGCTTCCTGGATGAGAAGCGAAACATCTTCAAGGGAAAACCAAGAAAGTCCAGTTGCCTCTTGATAAAAGGCCCCTTTGGGACAACCATGCCTGGAAGACTGAGAATCTCCACAAGCATTTAGTAATATTTGAAAAGCGAATATTTAATCTCACACTGTGGCCCTCTCTCCGAGAGCCTGGCTATTATTATTATTATTATTATTATTATTATTATTATTATTATTATTATTATTATTATTATTGTTTAATTCCTATCACGGAGCACTCCAGCTGGCATCTGGACATTCGATCCCAGCTTCCACGCTCAAGGGCACCTCATCCCACACCCAGTCTGGAAGGCTACTGCACCCCTTTAACTCTCCAAGACAGAGCTTGGAAACAGTGTGAGAAGGAGAACACAAATAGATGGAATTCTTTATTGGCTAAGTGTGATTGGACACACAAGGAATTGGTCTTGGTGCAAATGCTCTCAGTGTCCCTAAGAGAAAAGAGACATTCATCAAGAGTCAAGAATCATCAGGTCCAACACTTAATAATAGTCATAGGGTACAATAAGCAATCCAATCATACTAGGAAACAGACGATATAAATCGTAAGGATACAAGCGACAAAGTTACAGTCATACAGTCACAGGTGGGAGGGGAGGGGTGATAAGGAGTGATGAGAAGTTTAATAGTAGTGCAGACTTTGTAACTAGTTGGACAGTGTTGAGGGAATTATTTGTTTAGCAGAGTGATGGCATGGAGGAAAAAAATGTCCTTGTGTCTAGTTGTTCTGGTGTGCAGGGCTCCATAGTGTCATTTTGAGGGAAGAAGTTGAAACAGTTTATGTCCGGGATGTGAGGGGTCTGTAGATATTTTCACATCCCTCTTTTTGACTCATGCAGTATATAGGTTCCCCATGGAAGGCAGGTTGGTAGCCACTGGTTTTTCTGCAGTCCTAATTCTCCTCTGAAGTCTGTGTCTGTCCTGTTGGGTTGCACAACCAAACCAGACAGTTACAGAGGTGCAGAGGAGCACACATACACACACATGTTGTGTATCAACTACCACCACCCTGCTGCAAACCCGCATGCTGTTTTTCCCCTTGGCAGCAAATTAGCCAGCTGAGGCCAAGTTCTGAAAAAGAAACCGTCTTCCTGGTAAGCTGGGAGGAGTGGCATGACCGCATCGGAGCATCTTACTTGCTATTTTAGATCGGCCTTTTTCGCCTTTGCAGAGTTTCACGTGACTGGTCAGAGAGAGAGAGAGAGAAAGAGAACTATTTTGGGCCTGCAAAGCTGGCCTCTTCCGGGCAGGCGTTACCCCTGTTCCCAGTCTGAAGGGCACCGGGCACTGCATCATGCCTCCCTGGGAGAGACTTCATGGGCACTTCCCAGCATGGCCCCATCCCTGGCATAAGCTGTTTGCAAGGTAGGATCTACAAAATCTTTCCCTCTCTAAGATGGTTTTTTTCCCCCCTTGGCACCTTTATTTGCTGTGGGAAGATACAAACAAAACTTCTTCAGACGCTGAAGGAACAATAGCGTTAAAACAGCCCTGTTGGATTGGGACACCCCAAGGACTTTTGAATCAGCCTGGAAGGTCAGAACAGAATAACAGAGTTGGAAGGGACCTTGGAGGTCTTCTAGTCCAACCCCCCCCTCTGCTCAAACAGGAGGCCCTACATTATTGTAGACAAATGGCTGTCCGGTCTCTTCTTAAAAGCCTCCAGTGATGGAAGCACACACAACTTTTGTTCCACCAGTTGATTGTTCTCACTGTCAGGGAATTTCTCCTAAGTTCTAAGTTGCTTTTCTCCTTGATTCACCTATTGAGGGGAATGACAGGACACTAGCCAGAATAATACCAATGGATGCTGGTAGGCAGAGGCACACACACACCCACCCCCCGTTTATTTTCCTCTCCAAAAACTAAGCCCGAGAGTTGAGGGCTGTTTGAAAACTGAAACAGTATTTGCAGGGCGAGCAAGAAGGAGACAGCGAGGAGCCTAGGTGTGGCTTAGCTCAACTGTTCTGTACTAAAGCTGCTTGGTGCCCTGAAACTGAAACTGAAACTCCTCTCCTCTGCTTGTAGTTTTGCATTTGGAAGAGATTTCTTTTTTTTTCAGGTGGAGAGGGGGCATAAGACTCCTGAGCATCAGAGCGTTTTAATAATAATAATATAGGAAATACAAATGCTCTGAGGGTCATTTTGAAAAATCCTCTCTTGGTGAGCATCTATGAGCTAAGAGGAACATATGTACCAAATTTCAAGTTTGTAGGCTTTACAGTTCTGGAGATTTTGTGATGATGCGTGAGTGGTATTTCGCTTTTTAGATGATAGATAGATAGATAGATAGATAGATAGATAGATAGATAGATAGATAGATAGATACAGATAGATAGATAGATAGATAGATAGATAGATAGATAGATAGATAGATAGATAGATACAGAGATACAGAGATACAGAGATACAGAGATAGATAGATACAGAGATAGATATAGATATAGAGATAGATAGATAGATAGATAGATAGATAGATAGATAGAGAGATAGAGAGATACAGAGATACAGAGATACAGAGATACAGAGATACAGAGATACAGAGATACAGAGATACAGAGATAGATAGATACAGAGATAGATAGATAGATACAGAGATAGGTAGATAGATACAGAGATAGATATAGATACAGAGATAGATACAGAGATAGACAGATACAGTGATAGATACAGATACAGATACAGATACAGATACAGAGATAGATAGATAGATAGATAGATAGATAGATAGATAGATAGATAGA